ACATGTACGCACATCACTTATTTTTATATTAAACTTTTAAATAGTACGTACCTTATCAATAAGTACATGTATGTGTATGTGTTTGTGTGTTTCAGGTTAAAGAAAGTCCAAGACCTGTTTGCATCGTCAATATGAAACACTCCATGTACAAAAAGATCGGGTGTTGTTAAATAAAGAAGGGAAATGATAATACACGCCGATCATATTGCATGTTGTATATATTTTGCATTTTTGATCACCTAAGACAACGCTAAGTACGTGCTGTATATTGTTTTAACATTGGCTTATGTAGAAAGAAGCAAATAGCTGGTAGCATTATATGTCCCCTTTTATAACCCAGAAAAGGAGTGTTTTACAACTTGCAAAATAAATGAATGAAAGTCAAAAATGTAAATACTGGAATTAACTATTGGTGAAAATGTATGTTGAACACATGTATATATGTGTATATGTCTATTGCAAGCTAAGCACATTGTTTAAGCACATCCCCTGCTAAGCGCGTGAGGCTGCTAGACATATGGAGCTGCTATAGGTGTGGACTCCTAAATACGTTTAGCTGCACATCACACACTGCTACTTGACTCTGAAAGGAGAAGGACATGGCTCCCCTGCTATAACTTTATAGACTCCACAGTAATGTAAGTGCTTAAGTTTGCTATTTAAAATTAAAATGTATGAAAATATGAGAATTATTGTTTTAAACATTATTTGCATTTGTTATAGTGTGTGTGTGTATGTGTGTGTGTGTGTGTGTGTGTGTGTGTGTGTGTGTGTTTAATTTTAGTGACCGGATTATTGGCTCATTGTCTTATCTGCTTATTGGCTAATTGGCTATACCACAACGTGTATCAGCAAGTTTAAATAAACTGAAAACTAAAAGCCGGCCAAGTTCAAAAGTTTTTATCTATCTCAACACAATGGTGCAGTGCTTTCTGGTGTATATGTTGTTTTCAGTTTGTGTAAGTGTATCATACTTAAACCTTGAATATGAACTTTATTTTGAAACTATAGACCTTTCTCAGTGTCTGTGATGTTGAGACTGAACACTGCTCACCAATGTATCAATAATTGTATCAGTCCAAACACGTGCCCTTTGCTTATTGAATTGTTTTTGATATTTTATTGGTGTCAAACACTTCAAAGATCGGTATTTGCATGTAATTGTGACATTCTTATAAATTATCTTGGTTAGCACCATACTGACATGAAATTACAATGTGTGTTATTACGTTATGGCGTCTTCACTTTATGCGGCAATCGAATTTTAGTAGCGTTCGAGGCTATAATCGCGTTGCGTTTGCTAGGGTTTTGAGTTGGCAGGTGAGTACAATCGCCGTCGCAAATAGCGATTGATCGCTATACTTGCATGCGGTCGCAATTCGCGATGTTTTCGAGTGGTGTGTTATTGTGTGTGTTATTTTGCGTCCCCTACCTTGCATGGCCATCGGTATTGTAATCTTTGTCTCCAACACGTGCCTGTAATGTTATATACTCAACAGACCTTATGAGAAATAATCTATACATAGACTGAAATATTCAACGGGATGAATTGGACAACAGGCCTAGAATAATTTTTCTCTAAAGTTTTTCTTTTTTATTATACTATAACACTGAGATATGTTAGAGTAATAAAAACGAACTATTTATTTTGAAACAAAAATCAACCCTCTTAAATTTAAACATCTCTATTTAAGAGATGCAAATCAGATTCAGTTTGTAGTTATTTTATAGCGTCATGAACATATATAATAGCAGATGTGTTCAACTGAAAATATGTAAGTTTTCATAATACACTTTTTAGTTTTGATATATGTATGATCAAATTTATATTATTTTTGATGCAGGTACTTAGTGGTTTTCATCGCAGTATCAGTAATCTTTGTTGTCGTTTCTTCATGCAGGCCACCAGATAAGTATAGGGTTTATGAAATACAGATAATCTGTGGAACTGTTCACTGACATTTCCTTTTAAAGTGATTATTTCTTGGCCAAATGCTTTATGGTGTAGGAGGCTTTGGTGTCAAAATAGGTGCATTCACATTGTGATAATAAAACAAGTTTTAAGCGCTTTTAAGTGGACTGAAATATGGACCGTGAAAGTCAACTGAAAATGTAGTGTCACAACTATGCCAACATGTAGTAGATATTGGAGGACCACAGAAACATGTACAATACAAGACCTTCTATACTGAAGCTAACTTCCCAACAAACGACAAATATATACCAGTATGGAGACATGAAAACTACATTAAGGTGCACCAGCATTTTTTTTAATCCGTTTGCATCTGTCGCCTGTAACGCAAACGTTGATGTGTATTTTATCTTGTACCACGTTTCCATATGCAGCACTCTGAATATCAGATAAAGATGAAAGTCACTGCAGTTATTATTCTCTCCTGTCTCCTGACCCTGGCTATGATATCTTCCGGTAAGTGAAACACACACACACACACAGAGAGAGAGAGAGAGAGAGAGAGAGAGAGAGAGAGAGAAAAAAAGAAAGTTTCGACTGGAATCTCTTGAAGCGATTCAACAGTTATTTTGTTTTATAAAATGTTTATCACATTTTTTCCAGCTGCTCCAGTGAAGAAGAGGACAGGTGATTGTAATGCTCTCTCTCTCACTCCCCACCTTCTCTCTCTCTCTCTCTGTTTGTATGCGCGTGTGTGCATTAGTTTGTGTTTTAACCCAAAGTGTACATGAACTGAATGATAGTGATTCACATAAACACCCAGTTACATAAAAATATGCATAAATGCATGTATACAGATTGTTGTGCCACAGGATCTACAGTGTATATCAGCATGTGTTCAGTCCTTGTTATGTGGAAACATGTATAGAACTACTAAGAACCATGCCTGGTTTAACATGATGTGGGTCCCGACAGCAGATCGAAACTTGAATGGAAAATATAGGTAGACAACATTGGTAGTGCCGGTAAAGGGGAAGGTTATCAGGTTTGGCGCAGGAACAGAGCACCGCGTTTGCGTCTATC